TAATTCAGAATTCAGAGAAGAATTGATATGTGATATAGCTTCTTTATCTAAACAGAGACTGATGAAAATAAAAATCAATCATTTATTGCCACTGACCAACCTAATTACCTAACAGAGAGCTAAATCAAAATTTGATATTGGAATCAAATCTACTGTCTCTAAGCCATCATTTAGAGGAAAAAAAAAGAAGAAATTCTTTAGGTTTTGTAGTTTGAATTAACCACATTATTGGCTTTTATAATATCTACAATGACCTCAAGAATGAACAATATGGTGYCCCTTTATTTTTCTATTGTATTGTTTTTTGGTAATAATTTTACTAACACATGACATTATTGTTTAAGAAAAAGAGTATAAAATCTACTTAATTAACATAATTGAAAGATAGAACAACTTACAAAACCAAATCCATCAGTCTTGTAGGTTGGCCCAACCATGATATATTTAGAACAATACTTGGCAAGAAAAAGCTTGATGTAGGGTATCTCATCGATTATTGCAGCAACTCCACCATTCTGAGTTCCTTTAGATAAGGCCTCGTGATACTCTTCAGGAGTGCTATAAGCCCTGAGTTTGTCTTCATCCAAATTCAACCTTTTTATTAGGAGCCCTTTGACAAAGGAATCCTTCTGGTATCCCACATAGAACCCATTCTTTCTGAGTTCATTAATATCGGTTAGTGTTGGTTTTAACTGTTGTACCGTCAACATAGACGTTAAGCTTGCGGTATAACTTTGTGYTAGGATGAGCACCACAAACACCCATATAATCAGCACAAACCTTGACAAGTTGTTAACTATTTTCTCTCCTGCAACCATCAAGACAATTCAATTAATTAATTTATTTATAATCAATATAGGAAAAGAATGAATTCTTCTTTTGTTATCTAGGCTGCTATTGCACTCCAGTTCGATTTTGCAGGTATCTGGTAAGAATGCACTTCTGTACTAAAACGAAAGTTTTGGCTTTACCACTGTTTTAGCATTCCAAATGGGAGAAATGAWTGAATGAACAAATATGCATTCACATCAGTTCATTTTTTTGCACTCATACGAAATGCAGCTAATGACTGAATGAAATTAAAATGAGAGCTTGGGATCATTTACTATGTGCAAACACAAGCGTTGAGAAGGAGAACCAAAAGATAATGCCGACTTGTTGTGTGGGAGGTCCCCTGAAATCTGAATTTATACGATGCTCCAGAATCCACACCACAAAACCTGTGAAGATAAAAGCTGCACCAGTCATCAACCAAAGCTCCCAGCTTAGAGGYTTTAAGAAAATCCAAGCATTTTGGCTTGTCTCATCTCTGATTGGAACCACCATGGACACCCCTGATTCAGAGTATGGCAATGTAAAATCTACATACAAYGATCTGTTGGCGACGATTGTCGTATCTCCCACAACCGCATCATATTTCTGTTTGATACCAAAAGGAAGGAAATGAAACGTTAGCTATGCATTTAATGTCAAAAGAACAACTACCTTCCTTTCTATATATATCAAAGTAAGAAGGTAGATTCCCAACCTTGAGATAAACCTGATAAAGGAGTTCATCATAACTCCCAATACTTTGTCCATTGGGCTTCATGTAGGGAAATAAATCACAAGGGACTGCAAATGGTAATCTGTTTATTATGGTACGAAAAACATCAATGGAAAAACCATCGAAAGATTTCGCATTGGTAGTAGTATCATTGRTGACCTTCACAAATTCACTGAAACCATCTTTCACAGGAACTCCAATCTTTAGCCTCTTCCCTTTAGTGGGTATAACCCAACCTTTTGGTGTGATTGTTGAATCTCCTGGCCAGATTGGTGTGCTAAGATTGTTCACTGAATTTGATTTACTCTTCCCTTTTAAATCTCGATGAAGTCCTTTCTCTACTGACCAATATCCAATAACCCTTTCTCCTTTCCCAATCACATTGAAGATTTGGAAAGTTGAAGGCTGTAACTTCCCTTTAACCAAATTGAATTTACCACCCAATCCTCTAAATCTAGTAGCTAAGATCTTTTGCAGAAGTTTTGGACCCATCTGTGAGTATCCAAGGGTTGCAAGATCTGTTGAATGTTCACTACTTTCTGTCTTAATGAAGCTAGTATTCATGGCTCCAACTCTCTCTGTTGCCATAGCCAATGCCCAGACTGTGTCATATGCCCACAACCCGAAGAGACTCAACTCTCCTATTTTTCTATTTGGCTTGTTCAAGGAGAATTCCTTCTCCCATCTAATTTTGAAATCATGAAGATTTTTCGACTTTGGAATGTAAGGTTTCAAACCCAATACGCCTTGCATGGAGTCAATGACAGTGGGATCCATTGGATCCAGTAGACTAGATAAGCCATCTGTAGTCATCCATACAAATCCTTCACTCATCATTTCCGCCTGCTTTACTTTTGCAAAAAAGCGAGAACCAAGAGAAGCTGTCATGTGCACCACAAATACCCTAGTTTGCATGGTCATTAACAAATTAAGCTCTTCCAGTATTTGATCATCATTGGCATATAGAGGGATCACACTCCTGTAGGGCACACGGACCTCAATTTCTTGGAAAGCATCAATTAGATAAGGTATGACTCCATTCCCATAATCAGTATCTTCGTAGATAGGGACAACTTCTTTCCATCCATAATTCTGGAAAATGGATTTAATGGCTTTCACTTGAGATGARTCATCTTGGGTTGTCCGAACAAAGAAATGATTTTGAATGGGTGAAAGAGAAGGACTGGTTGCGGAGAAAGAAATGATGGGCACCTGAGCCTTGTCACCAAGATCAATCACAAATCTAGCTTGTGCTGATTTTTGTGGCCCAATGATGGCTTGTACGTTATCATTTTTCAACAAGTCTAAAGCTGCATATTTAAAAAAACATAAAGTAATTATGGAATTTTCAAACAAAACAACTCTGCACCCTAAAATCAAGTTTTATAAGGATTAGTGACAACAACTACAATAATAATAATGTAAAAAGTTCAAAAAATAATTTATTGATAAATGTCATTAC